GAGGTGTGAGGGCGGCGCGTGCTGCGGGCGGCGAGGCGGGAGCGGTGAGGGCGGTGGGCACCGGGAGGGTCCCTGAGCTGGCAGAGGTGAGGGCGGTGGGCACCGGGAGGGTCCCTGAGCTGGGAGCGGTGAGGGCGGTGGGCACCGGGAGGGTCCCTGAGCTGGGAGCGGTGAGGGCGGTGGGCACCGGGAGGGTCCCTGAGCTGGGAGCGGTGAGGGCGGTGGGCACCGGGAGGGTCCCTGAGCTGGCAGAGGTGAGGGCGGTGGGCACCGGGAGGGTCCCTGAGCTGGCAGAGGTGAGGGTGGTGGGCACTGGAGGAGCTCAGGGTGCTGGCGGCCCCTCGGGCTGGGTGACATGGAGGCCAAGGCGGGGGGGGGCTGGTGGTGTCTGAGTGTCCTGCAGGACGGTGGGTCTGTCCTACCTGAACAGCACAGCCCGGGGAGGTGGTGCAGGGGCACGAGCTGTGCTTGGAGGTCTGCCTGGCACTGCCCGGCCTGCCCAGCAGCCACAGAGTGTGGGGCTGGTGGGGCAGCCACCTCCAGTGAGGGCTGCCCAGGGCTCAGCATTAGGTGTCGGGGGCCTTTGCTGAGGTGTGAAATGTCTGGGACAGTGAGCAGCAAGAGCCTTTCCTCATTGCTTGTGACCCTTTCTGGCCTTGACTCATGGTTTTGTGCTTCCCAAGTGGCAGTACAGGGAGATCAAGGGAAGCTCTAGGTACCTCCTACTCTCTTTAGAAGTTGTTCCAGGTGATTCCATATTTTATTTAGAAGTCTAGTGGTTCGATTTTTTTTTTAATTGACGAATTTATTTCATTTGCTGTGGATTCCTCTTCCCCAACCCCCCCACTGTGTGCCCCTTCCTTTGTTTTCACTGTCTGAAATCACAGAGGACTATTTCTTGCTACTTGTTTTTTAGAAGTTTTGCCTGCAGTGCTTCCTCCTTAGTTTGTAGTTCAGCTGCTCCACGTGAGCTTTTCCTAAACACTCTAAAGGGAAAAGACTTCACTCCTGTCCGAATGACTGCTGTAGGAAATCTTGAGAGCACTAGTTCTTCTGTCAGCCTCTACAGTGACAAAAGTATAAATGGCTTCATGAAGTGGAACAGGTTCTTGGGCTGCAGCTAGGTGTGTTAAAATCAGCAGCCTGTATGTGATTCCTCAGGGGCTGGAAGTGGCGTTCCAAGGGATCTGTCTCTGCTTAGCACAAAGTTAAACTCCAGATTTTTGCCCCCTGGCCTTCAGATGACGTCCTGAGCTAAAGGGTCTGTTCCAGCCTAAACCATCCCTGCAGCTCTGGGAGATTCCAGCTTCATGCCATCTCAGTGGTTGGAGCCCAGCTCTTCCCTCAGAGCCAGCTTTATTCCTGGCTGCAGCTGCTGGGCGTAGAGGGTGTTCCTGGCACTCCCCTGATGAGCCTGGTTTGGCTCGGTGGTGTTTGGACATGAGAAAAGCAAGTACTTGAGCCTCAAAATGAAACGTTGAAAGGGCTGTAATAAGCCTCTTCGTGTAATCTTCCCTTTGAAGGTGCATTTGGGAGCAGGAGCAGCGTGAGGATGCTCCGCTTCTGAAGTTCTAAAGCTCTGTAATGTTTGGGCTGTTGAGGGACTTGCATTCCTGCTTGGATGTTGCTCTGGCTCTTGCTGCAGTTTAGACTGTGGCTTTGTAGGGTTTTTCAGAAACTATCAGTGCATTCCGCATTTTGGTTTTGGTGATTCTGTTGCCAAGTTTTTTTTCTCCTTGTCAGTCAGTAGTCAAACAACTTACCTAAGCAGTGAGGTTGGGCTTTTAGATTTCCTAAAGTATGAGTAGCCCCCAAATAGGTTACTCTGTGTCCACATTTTACCTTTATGAGGTAGGTGTAGATGGAATTCAGCTTTATGTTAATGCTACTGCTGATTCTGTCTTTCACTCTCCAGTCCTATAGATTGTTCATAATAGCTTGGGAATATTTTGTCTGCCACTTTTTCCCCTGAGAGACCTTCGGTACAGATGGCCTTAATATACGTACTAGGAGATATTTCAGTGGCAGAAGAGGGGCTGGTGTGGTGTAGGGTGCAATTTCATAGTCTCTTACGGAAAACTGGCATATTTCTCTTTGTTTAAAAACTTACGTACAAAATTCTTGGCTTGGACACTTCTGTGCTTTATTGGCCGAGGGGCTGTGTGAGGCAGGTAAATGGGAACTAAAGGAAG